CTCTCTCTCTCTCCCTCTTTCCTTCTCTAGCTCATCCCTGTCCTCCGTTTCTCGCTCTCTATCTCTCATCCACTGTTCCTCCAACCCTCATCCTGCCTCCCTTCCCCTCACTTTCTTTCTCTCTCTTTCTTTCTGTGTCAATCTCTCTCGCCCCTTCCCTCTCCCTCATTTTTTGTCTCCGTCTACATTTCTATTTAAATTTCCCCTTCCCATATATCCCTTCCATCCGTCTGTCCGTCCCTCTATCTATCTTCGTATATATCTATCCATCTATCTATATTCATTTGGCTGTCTGTCTCTTTCTCTCTCTGTCTGTTCGTCTCTCACTCTATGTCTGTCTCTCAGTGTATGTCTGTATCTGTGTGTCTGTCTGTTTTTCTGTGCGTCTATTTGTCTGTCTGTCTGTCTGTGCGTCTATCTGTCTGTATGTCTGTCACACACACACACACACACACACACACACACACACACACACACACACACACACACACACACACACACCACAAAAATCCAAACAGGATAAATAAAACACCTCAATTTACGATTTTTTCACAGGTAACTCCCCAAAACATTATTACCGATACACCCTCACTCTAATTACGGTAATTAGTCCATCCCAGCATCACCGGAAACCCCATGAGAGAGAGAGAGAGAGAGAGAGAGAGAGAGAGAGAGAGAGAGAGAGAGAGAGAGAGAGAGTGTGTGTGTGTGTGTGTGTGTGTGTGTGTGTGTGTGTGTGTGTGTGTGTGTGTGAGTTTGCTTGTTCATGCAGTACGAGTCTCTCAGCTGATCCATCCAAAACACAAGGGCCTCAAGCAATCAGCTGATTCACCAAAAAATACAAACTTCTCCCGTCCTCTGATTCACCAAAATATAAGTTTCTACCCACCAAATGGTTCACCAAAACAATGACGTCACCCTACCAACTGATATTAAAAAAATGACGTCATCCTTCTAGCTGATTCACCATAACAATATGACGTCACTCTATTAGCTGATATACCAAAACAATGACGTCACCCTTCTAGCTGATTCACCATAACAATATGACGTCACTCTACCAGCTGATATACCAAAACAATGACGTCTTCCTACTAACTGATATACCAAAACACAAACGTCAGAACGGGGGGGGGGGGGCGCAGTTAGCCATCACACAGCCTGCACAGCTAAATAACTCGTCCATTTAATAACATCCGTGAGATTATCGCCACACTGGGAGCTGAAGACCCATTGTCCGGGAGTTAAACGAGAACTCACGCCTTCCCAGCACGGAATCGGAATTATCTTAACCGCGCGTCGTACTAAGCTCTTATGATATTCAATACGAGGCCATTAAAGTCATCGCCAGTGAGGGATGACAGTAAAGTGACGATAATCCGGTATAATTATGTCTCTCGCTGTGTTGGTGAGCGTCCTGTTGAATTATTGACAAGAACTCACAGCTCTGGTATATAACAGTCGGTGTGACGGTGAGAGATCAACTGAATTATGTCACGGGCCGCGAGCTGACTGTTTTATCAGCCATTAGTGACGCTTGAGGCGGAAACTCTTCATGATCGATTTAACTCTGATGTATATATTTCTGTACATTTATTAACGTTATACACATTAATATACAATTGTATCTATATACACCAACTTATATATCATAATAATTACACAAAACACCAGAGTAAATGAATTCCAACTTTGTAACACATAGGTTAATCGTCTGTTATGAAGTGATTAAAATTTAGCCACGAAAGGTCACAGTAACGTCGGGCAGAGGTCACGGTGGAAGGTCAGGCGGGGTGGGTAAGCGCATTTGTAGTTGACAGTGTGATAACGACGGTCCCGGTGAGTTATTGTCAATGTTTCAGCCTCATTATTATTCTCCCCCGCTATGGGAAGAGGAGGGTGGGGAGAAGGGGAGGACAGGGACGGGGAAGGGGGTGGGAGAGGGTGTAAGAGGAACCAAGGGAAGAATGCGAGGAGAAAGAGGCAGGGAGACTAGAGAGAATAAGAAGGAGGACGGCACGAGAGAAGAATACTGTAGGTGGATGAAGACGAGGAGAGAGAGAGAGAGAGAGAGAGACGGGGTGGATGGTGGAAGGAGGGAAGGGGGAGGAGGAACGAATTAGCCAACACACTGCTAGGCCATTGTCGTGTCTCGGGTCTCGTTCCGCAGGCTTTTCGCAATTCAGGTCCTAATATGTGGTCCCCTGATTCTCTCTCAGGCCCCGGGATTGGATTGGAGGCTTTGTGTGATTCACTGTTGGTCCCCCTGATTCCCCCCAGCACCTCAGGATTGGTCTAGGGATGCGCTGTGTAATTCACTGTTGTTGATGTAATGGAACAGAGAACTCCGGGTCTCCACTAGAGTTGATGGTACAATGTATTACAGCCTTTCAGAATGTTACGTGTTACTGCGCTTCGTGATGTTATACTGTATAACTGCGCTTCAATAACTAAGACTCTTTAAGGTAAGGTAATCTTTGTTAATATATACAATAATCATCTACGATTAAAAATTAAGAGTAACATTTATTTGGCAACATACAATAAAACAACAACAGTCAATACACTATAATCTATAGAGGATGGAAAGAGTAGTCAGGGAGAAAGGACTGGACAACCACTAGGCAGACTCAAAAGAAAAAAAATGAAAACAAATGAACGGTCGGGAAATAATCCTAAATGAAATGGAATCCACGTCAAGGAAGCACTTTATGACCATCACCTCCCTCCTCTCTTCCATTCGTGCCTCCCTCCATCCCCCCTTCCCTCCCTCTGGCCAATCACAGTATGTGGAGGACTCGCCTCTTATAGTCTAATGTCTCTTGTCTTGCCAGAGTTTATATTACTTTCCGTCTACTCTTGGCTACTTCTGACACTTATCTGGGGATGTCTGGCAGTTTACTTGCTTCTTTGTGGCTATTTACGTTAAGCTTGGGCTATGTTTGGAACTTTTGGCTATTTATGACAACCTTTGGCTATTTCTATCAGGTTTAGGCTATTTTTTGGAGTTTATGGCAATTTAGGGGATATTCTTATTTGTTTTTAGCTAATTGTGGGATGTTTCAGCTATGGCTCGTAACTTATTATTTTTTTACGATCTGACGGTTAGTTCCTATTTTTTTTTTTTTGGCTATTTTGGAAGGTTTTGTCTATGCCTGTTAGGTTTTGGCTAAAGCTCACAAGTTTTGTGCTATTTCTGACAGTTGTGAATACTTTCTGGCTGTCTCTTATTGGTTTTTCCCTATTTCTGGTAACTACTTTCTCCTTTTTGTGAATTAGGCTACTTTTTCCAAACTTTCATATCATATTTGGCTATTATATGGCCATTTGGGTTATTTCTGACTATTTCGTGTTATAAAGCAACTTATTTATTCTATAATTTTGACGAAATATTTGAAAAAATCTATCTTTACGTGGTGGCTTAAGCGAGCAAGTAAGATGCATTCTCAATCTTAGGAGAAAAAAAAACTTAACGTATGAATTCTAGAAGATCTATTTGTGTCGTAATTAAACTTAAGAACCTTTGAGACTCCATCTTTATATCATAAGACGAAAATACGAAACTCGGAGAATCCATCTTTACGTCGTAACTTAAGCTAAACCACACTCATATGAGGTCTTCTTTCATCTTCTCTTAAGAGGAAAAAACATCACGGTACACGAACTTTTGGGAATCCTGGCCTCGAGGTCGCCATATTTAAGATGTCTGGGAGGTTTCTGAGAGAGGGGGAGGGGGTGAGTGGATTAGGGGAGCAGTGGGTGGATGGAGGAGGGGGCGAGGGGGGGTGAAGGGATAGTGGGTGGGTGGGTGGGTGGGTGGGTGAGAGAGGATGGAGGAAGGGGGTGTTTGGATGGTTGGGTGGGCGGACACACGAGGTTGGTGATTGAGTGGGTGTTGGTGGGTGAGTGGGTGTTGGTGGGTGGGTGAGTGGGTGGGTCGCACTGGGTTTGTGGGTGGGTAGCGGGGGAATGACGGATAGTTGCGAAACAGGACAGGATAAGTGGGTGTAGATGGGAGGGTGGATGGGTGAGTAGGATGGTGGGTGAGCAGGTTAGTGGGTGAGTGATTAGGGTGTGAGGGTGTATATAAGCCCCCCACCTCTAAAACCCACACGAGGAGAGCGGGTGAACAGGTGGGCTAGGTGGATAAATAGGTGGGTTGGGTGTATAAATAGGTGGGTTGGATGGATAAGCAGGTGGGTGGATGGGTGACTGGAATGAGGGGGGGGGGATTTTGGTATTAGCTCACCACCCCTAGAGACACGGGGAGGCAGGGGGTGGTGAGCAGGTAAGCAGGTGGGTTGAGTGAGAGGGTCGCTGTTGGGGGGGGGGAGTGGGAGGAGGGGAAGGGGTGTGGAATATTTCCCTCCCCCCTCCCCTTCTCTACCCCCGCCACCAGGGACGCAGAGGGTGGCCAACGGAACACAAGTTTGATAGGCTAAACTAATTTACAAAGTTTGGCTGGGAGGTTTTGTAATAAAAGTCTAAACTCACAGAGAAACGCCTCGCATTCGACAGTCACAAGTTGTAGATGTGGTGAAGTATTCCTTTAACCTGCGGGGGGGGGGAGGGATGGAGGAGGGAGGGATGGGGAGTAAGGAAGGAGATGGGAGGAGTGGGAGGGGAAGAGGATGGGGGATAAGGAGGAGGATGGGGGATGGAGAAGAGGAGGAGGAGGAGGAGTTGTTTTTGTTTTAACAGCAACAGACAGACAGCAAGAGAGTTTTTATTTATTGCTGCAGGAGTTTTCTTTACAGCTTTAATCCACAAGGGTGAAGAGAGGGAAAAAAGGGGGAATAGAGGGGGAGGAAAGGGTGATTTTCATTGTTGTTTTATTTGTTTTTACAGCAAGTGTTATTTTTTTTTACAGCGTCGTCTGGTGTTTTAGTCCATTGTATAGGATTCTACTGACAGTTTAAACCCGCTGGGGGAAGGAGAGGCTGGAGAGTTTTTTGTTGTTTTTGTTTAACAAGTTATGTTTTTTTTGTACAGCAACTGAC